AAAAAAAAAACAGTTGATTCTGGGTTTAATAAATGAAGGCATTATTAGAAATTCTACGCAGCAAAGTGACATACTGGCACATACAGTATCATACCCTCCCACCTGCCCTATGCTGTTGAGGACAACGGCTTCTAAATTAGAGTAATATTATCATGCCATAGATATCATTTTGGCAAAAAAAGGTTAAATAAATCATGTCTAATATTTAGCTAAATAACATGATTATACACAATCCACTGGTATATACAACATTTACAACAGAAAATATATTAAAAAATATTTTCACACTAGGTGTCTTCATCATTTCTTCAGCATCCTCTCCTTCAATTCTTTTTGTTGGCCTTCAAGTTTTCATTTCAGTGTGACTCTGGCTCTGTTCCAAAACCTATGAGCTGCCTACCTGTCTGCTGCCTACATATCACATTGTTGTGGCAGATGAGTGATACACTGAGCAGACAAGAAGTGACTCTCAATATATTGTTTATGTCCGCTGAATTATTTTACTGGCCAACAGTCCACACCAATCCATTGTCCAATTGAGTTTGTCCATCTGTCTGAAGTAGACCTATAGTGGCCATTCACAAAGGATGTGTTTTTGTGTTCAATCTACCCTATTTCTAATAGTTGATTTGTATACATATGCAGACATAAATTTCATGGAAAGTGTTATATATACAAGGGCATAATGATATGCTACTTATGCATATTTACATACAACATGCCAATTTCCTTAATGTAGTACAATCAATTATATAAAATCAATTGTACTAAATTAATTGTTCTATATTAATATGACAGCCCTATTTCTTATGCTAAAGTATTTGGATACTACTTCTCCACACCTTGCTCAAGCACACACTTCACCATCCTTTTCCAAGTGTTTTCTGTCTCTTAGCTGACACTACAACCTTCACGTGGCTCTAGTTGGCAGATTTTCTCTTCCTCTTTTACAGCTGATAAAACTGAGCCCATTTCGCCTTCCTCACTATAAACTTTATTATCACATTCTGTACAGCACTGTTTATTCAAATACTGTTCTCTGATTTCTGAACTATGATCTTCCTTCATTGCATGTTTTGAGATGCTGTTGGTCTGTTTCTGCTTTCTTGTCCTCTGGCACAGATATGCCATTGTTTGTATTGTCTGGATCGCTGTTCTTTACATCACAATCTTTTAAAAGTTTATTTTTTTCTCTCTTTAATTTCTGGAACATCCTTTTATTCCTGCATGTTTTGTTCTGACTCACTGCTCTTGTCTGTCTGCTCACCATCATCATCATCATCTTCCTCTTGAGGGAAGAATGCAGTTTGTTTATTTTCTAATTCCATATTCAGGTTTGAAGATGGGACACTGATGTCAAGGTTAGACTGTGAATCTATAACAGAAAATAAACACGATGAAAAACCTCATCTACTAATTCAAAATACTAATGACTAAATCAATTTCAAACTTCTGAATATGAAGAAAAGGCAGAAACTAACCCAGAGGATCACTGGGAGCTTCGCTATGCAAAGGTGGATTACAAGGTTCAGCTAAAAAATGGGGAGCAAAACATATCAGATGAGATATTTATTTCTGCAGTGATTTCTCTAAAAGGTTTCGTTTTTCTGTATAAACATGATCTGTATTTTACCTGTCATCTCATGGTTTTCCTTTTTGGTTTTCTCTTCCTCCTCCTTTTCCCCTTCTGGCCTCTGGTCATCCGCATTAATAGATGAACATAGGCTCTTGTTCTGCTGCCCATTTTCATTTTGGCTGCTCTTCTCATTTTTGTGTAGTTGTTCTGCTACATTTCCTGTGTCCACTGTACTTCTTC